TTTCTCTCTCATTATTTATTGCACACCTATGCTTTTTATAAAGAAGTTTAATTGATAATTCGTTCTATATTATAACTTTTAATTTACATATTTTCTATTTTTGACAGGAGGTTCAATCTAAAAATACATACATACAATTCATCTTCTCGCTCAATCAACCATCAATTTTTTTGTTTTTCATTCATTTATTAAATTTATTCATTCTTTCGTTCGTTTGTTCATTCGTTAATCCATTTGGTCGTTCCTACATCCATCACATCCATCAATTTATCCATCCAGCTGTTCGTTTATTCATTCGCCTGCCATCCATACTTCAATCCCTCACTCATATATTCATTAATTTATTCATCCATTATTAACTCATTTATTCACTTTTTCATTCATTAAGTCCCGCCCACAATTTTGGGCCCCTCTCCCAGCAAAGAAATCATCGTAGTCCACGAGGGGGCCAACTTAACGATCGCATGCAACGCCACCGGAAGTCCACAGCCGGAAATCACGTGGTCGCGTAGGTCCCTACTACTACCAGAAGTTAATAATGATGACGTCATAGGTGGAGGGTTGGCGGCGGATCAGGAGGAGGAAGAGAGGTGCGCGGGTCTGGGTGAGTTTGGATTCCTCGGCCATTTGTTTCTAACTGTTACTTAATTAAATTTAACTGAATGAATGTAGATGAACATATACATCGATGAGTGAATGAGAGAATGAAGGAGTGAATGAATGAGTAAATGAGTGAATAAATGAATGAGTGAATGAACGAACGAAGAAACGATCGAATGATTTAATGGTTCTATGGATGAAGATGGATAAAAATGGATGAATGAATAGAAAGTCAGGCAAACCAATTAATGAATGAACTGCCCTGACGGTTTAGGGGGGATCCAGTTGATCCGTAGAGTTACACGCCATTGTTCCGGAATATACACGTGCACGGCAAGCAATGGCGTGGGACGACCGGCTGTCAAGTACTTCAGGATCTTTGTGGCTTGTAAGGGAATGACGATGAAGATGATGATGAAAATAGTTGTGATAATGATCATAATTATCGTGTTGATGATGATGACGATAATGGTTTTTTGTAATGGATGATGATGGTTTTAGTTATCTTAATCATCATCATTACCCTCGTTGTCATCGCCAACATCACAACGTTATTATCATTCTTATCTCTATCACAATCATCATCATCACCGCCAACATCATCATCATCGTCACCAGTTCCTCCAAAGGTGAAGGTCGTCAATAGAAAGATCAGCCAATCAAGAGGCAGGGAGACAATATTGGAGTGCAGGGTTTTCGCCTACCCACAAGTCTGATTGGCTTAATTTTTTGTTGTTGAAATAGTTCATTTTGTGTTTTTTTTGAGATTTAGTTAAGAAATGTCTGAGTGAATTGTATTGATCCTAGATTAAATTTTGTAATTGCTGATTAATTGGTCAGCTAACCAACTAATTAATCACTCTCACAGCACCAAAGTGCACAGATACGTACACACACACGCACACACACACGCAAACAAACACCTACACACACGCACACAAACAAACACACGCACACAAACATGTACACAATTTCTCATTCAAGGCAACTGCAGTTTGGGAGAAGAATGGCGAAACGATCTCGAACACGAGGATGCGAAGCGTCGAACTTTATTACGGGAGCTCGGAGACCATTTCGTCCCTGAAATTCCCCGAGAACCTTGGACAAGAAAATTCAGCGTTTGAATCCAACTATCCGGATATGGACGCGGGACCGAATTTGTCCGCCACGGGACCGAATTCACTCCCACTGGATTCGAAACTGTCCACAACGTATTACGTAACGTTGAGTTTAAGGATTATGATCATTGGAGAGAATGATTACGGATTGTATACTTGCTCGGCTAAGAACCAGTTGGGACAGGATGCCGATACTACACTCTTATATGGTTGGGTCAGGGTTGGGGCTCGTTCGTTCATTCATTCATTTACTCATTCATTTATTCATTCATTCGTTCATTCAATCAATGAATCATTTATATTTTTTCATTTATTTTCGAACTAGAAATGAAAAAGAAATATTCGCCATCATCATCATCTTCGCCATCATCGTCATCACTATCTCTAAAATTAACGAGAAAAGACAAAACACACCTTCATAACGGCCGGCCGGAAGTGGAATTAGTTTTGAATTCAAGGAAGCAAGATGGCAGACGCGGCGATAATGGAGCTAGTGGCATCCGAAGAGACATGGCATTTCAATTAGGATCCGGTTACATATGAAAATTTTGTTTATTTATTAGTTCACCAGGTTTTTTTTACCCGTGTTCGTTCGTTTGAACATGTGGGTATGTGTGATAAGTATATATATATATATATATATATATATATATATATATATAAATATATATATATATATATATATATATATATAGTGTGTGTGTGTGTGCGTGCGCGTGCGCGCGCGTGTGTTTGTGATGGCATAAGAGATTTTTTCTTTTAAAATTTCAGGTAGCCATAATCTAGACAGCCTATGGCCGATCTCAACTTTTTTATTACTCTTATTGTTATATGGAAATCTCATCACATACTTTCAACTGATAACCCACATAACTAGAATAAATATAACGGCCTTCGCTCACTTTTAACGGTCGAACAATGAGCTTACTTTCGGAGGAGATTTGGAGGTTGATTTTTATCGTTCGAGTCAAAAGTTACGATCAATCGGTCGGGCTATTTGACATGCTTGGATTGTTGGCTTACGAAATTGCATGGATTTTACCGGGCAAGCTATATGAAATATTTACTTGACTTAACATCCTTAAAACATTGTAGTAATTCTATTTAATTTTTCAATAATGCTTTTGGTCCGGTGAAATCCGGTGGGTTACTAAAGCCGAAATTTGGCTTACTAGGATTGAACTATAGTCACTCTTTTTTTTACACTATTCGATTATGTTAAAAACTTGTTTGCTTACGAAATAAACGGCCTAAATAAATCAAAATTGTTATTTAAACAACTATCTTCATTATATTCATTGAATATTTTACATTCTGCTGGTGCTCATAGAAACTAGTTGCTAAGTGGCTTACAAGGTTCATAGAACTCTTAGGTTTTTTTTACATATAATGCTTTAAATAAAACAACATTCATATAACAATCATTTTTGTCAATATAAATAGAGAAATTGCTTTTGG